AGTTTTGGAATTGAAGGGCCGGGAAGCGCAGTCCCTGGGGATTGTTAGAGAGTGTTGGGAGATTCTCCACACCCGAGTCAGGTGACATGGAGCTGAGCTGCATCCACACTACAAAGCATTTGGGCTCTGACTTGCATCACAGTGGGACTTTGGCTCTGACCCCATCCCCTAGCAGGCTGTGCAGGCCTGAGTCAAACTAACTTCCGTGTGGACAGAAGTGGGGCTTGGTCTTAAGCCTGAGTCAGAGCTGCGGCTTAGTATGCTGTAGACATACCACTGGGGTCTACCCTCCGGCAGGGCCGGATTTCCAAAGAGGCATAGTAGGCACATGTCTAGGGGCACCGGGCGCTCTAGGGGCACTTTACCTCTCTAATACTATGTACAACATGCAGGTCAGCTGTGGGCGGTGGGTGTGTGTGTGCTGAAGATGCTGTGTCTAGGGCCGCATAAGGTGTAAATCTGGCCCTGCCCTCCGGGGCTTGAGGTCCGCCATTTTAAAGTTACAAACTGCTGCGGAAACACCTCTCAGGCACCACAGGGCTATCGCCACTCGCTTCTCCAGTGTCAGGGCAGGTCTCACCTTGGTATTCCTGCACTTCAGGGCAGGGGAAAACAACTCACAAAGTTCCATGGAAGTGGCCTTATGCATGGAAAAGTTTCGCAGCCACTGGGAATCACCCCAGACCCGCAACACTATGCGGTCCCACCAGTCTGCGCTTGTTTGCCTGGCCCAGAATTGGAGTTCCACTGTATCAACCTGCCCCACTGCCGCCATGATGTCCCAATTGTCACATCCCGTGCTTTCAGGAACATCTGTGTCCGTGTCCTCCTCACAATCGTCCTCGTGCTGACAGCTCCTAGCCAGGTTCTGCACATACTGCAAAATGTGAGGGGGGTTTACAATGCTCACAACAGCAGCGCTGAACTGAGCGGGCTACATGTTTGGTGTGCTATGGTGTCTGTACAGGTAACCCAGGAAATAAGATGCAAAATGATTGTTTGCCATTGCTTTCAAGGAGGGAGGGAGGGAGGAAGGGAGGGGAGACTGATGACATGTACCCAAGACCACCCGTGACAATGTTTTTGCCCAATCAGACATTGGGGACTCTGGGATAGCTACCCACAGTGCACCACTCCATGAGACGATGCTAGCCACGGTACTGCGCTTAGTGGGGACATACACGATCCACTGTATAAAATCATTTTCTAAAGATCGACTTTGTATTGTGGAAACACCACAAACAGGATTCATTACACAAACCATGAGCAAACGACCCACCCGCAGGTCAGTTGGGCAGTGTCCTTTTCCCCTCAGGGTCTGAAGTCCAGCAACCCAAAAGTCACTCAGCTCACAGTTGCTGTCCTTGGTCAGTGCAGCCCCAGAGTTCAGAAGTTCCACTGCAGAGTTTATCTCCCAGCCTGGGTGGATGGGGGCGAGAAAAGGTATGGAGGCACCTTACACTCTCCGCTGCTTGGGCCCTTGACAGCCAATTGTCACGCCTCTCTGTGGGGTCCCGCTCACCAATATGTCTTCAGGCCCCCCATTCTTAACACAGCTCTCAGGGATTTCAGCTGTTAGTGGGGGACCCTCACTGCCGGTGTGCCTGGATAGACTGCTTGCAGCAGAACCACTAGCCCAGAGTGTGTCTAATGCTTAAACCTGCTGCATGTAACAAGACTCTTACTCAACTTGAAATTAGCTCTGTTATTACACAGTGGAGAGACGAAGGGGGGGGCGGCAGCTGAGCACCCACTGCTTTTTTTCTGTAGGAACGCGGCCTCCCTCACCCCAATGTTCCTTAGTAACCGGGGGAAGGGAGGTGAGGATATTGCAGGGGGATTTGGACGTGTCTCTGTGACTGGAACAGCTTCAGCAGGAGACAGTGAGCGAGAGCCACCCCAGACTACTCTACACCTGTAGTGTGGGAGACCCAAGCTCCAACCCCTGCTCCAACTCAGGTAGAGGGGGACTGGAACCGGGCCCACCCACATCCCAGCGAAGTGCTCAAAAACCAGAGCTATAGCGTGTGGGGGTCGGGGAGAAACAGCACCGCCTCACAGTGCTTCCACGTTGCTTTTAATTAATAAGCACTCAAAAGTGGCCAAAATAGAAACAAAACATTTCATTTGACCTAAAACCATTTTTTCCTGATTTTCTCTTTTGTTGAGAAAATCGAAAAATTTTCATTTCAGCTGGATCTGAAATAATTTCCTTCTCAGTTTGGTGAGCTCCCCAAACACTCTGCTGTGCGCACAGCTCTCCTCCGAGTCACCGAGGCAGTTTGAAAGCCACACCCTAGTTAGGCAATGTCTTTGGTTGTATTGCCCGGCACTGCCCTGCTCCTGCAAGGTGCTGATCACCTCCAGGGGGCGCTGGCGACCAACCTCGACTCCTGTGGCAGGACAGCTCTGCTAATGGTCTGTATCCTGACCCACAGCCCCACCCCCACATTTCTGTCCTGGGCATCCTCATATCCACAGCTCTGCTGATGCCCCTTAATCCTGACCCACAACCCCGGCAATTCTAGCCCTGGGATTCCCCCCAACCACCGTCACTGTGCTGCCCCTCAATCTCGATCCCAATCCTGAGCTCCGAACCCAGGCAGAGCTGTGCCAATACATCTCAATCCCACCCCACCCCCACTCGGCCAGCCTGCTAGTCCTCCAGTTACTGCTGTCTGCGCCTCCAACCCTTGAGTAGAGGGCGAGACCTAGCGACACCATTCGGAGATGTCTCAGTGAGACGCAGCAGAAGGAGGAATCATGTAAAAGACAGTGTGTCTAGTGGCAAACTAGAACCCCGGGAACAGAGGGGATGAGACTGAATGGACAAATGAACATACAGGGACTAAACCTCACACACGGAGAGGGCCAGATCCTCAGCGGGTGTAAACTGGCATCACTCTCGTAACTTCAGTGAAGCTCTGCCCATTTACTCTAGCTGGGACATGCAGCCCGTAAACCTTTCCAGTTCTGAAGATGCTGGGTTTTCCCTTCTGTTGGTAAACCGTATGATCAATTGCTCGACCACACTTTGGTTCATTATGCTATATGCTCAAATAACCAATATCAGTGTGGTTTATTGCTAATACTCAGTAACAGCATATTACAGGAACAAAGCAACAGAGGGTCCTGTGGCACCTTTGAGACTAACGGAAGTATTGGGAGCATAAGCTTTCATGGGTAAGAACCTCACTTCTTCAGATGCAGTCTTGCATCTGAAGAAGTAAGGTTCTTACCCACGAAAGCTTATGCTCCCAATACTTCGGTTAGTCTCAAAGGTGCCACAGGACCCCCTGTTGCTTTTTACAGATTCAGACTAACACGGCTACCCCTCTGATACAGGTACAAAGGTTCAATACAACTCTAATTTCCGGGAACGTCTCCTGCAGCAGTGCTAAATTTGTCTTACAAAGAAGGCTTATGTCCAAAGTCACACCCCTAAAGCTGTCCTTTTTATATCAAACCTGTTTACACGGAAAGAGGTACTGTATGCATCCTCTGAGGCTAGTCAAATGCATTGACAGAGGAGGAAATAAGGCAGGTGAACCACACCCCACTGCTCAGCACAATCCATACAGGACAGAGCGAACCACCAGGAAACATCTGAGAAAGGGGAAGTCACTGAGCAGAAACTGACTTTATATGGGCAACTGCCCACATCCCGCTCTCTGACACCATCAATCATGGATAGTCACTAGCTGCCTCTTTCATCTTCTTCCTGTGTTAATCCTGTTACAACGGCACCACCTGGACCAGGACTGATGTTCTGTCTGCGTCTCCAAGACGACAGCTGCAGACAAGAGCTATGATCACAGCTGAGACTTGGACAGCACCATCTCACGCATAGGAAGCCGCACTGTGATCTGGATGAAGATCTGTTCTTCTGTTTGGTTTTTGTTAAGAAGAGCTACTGCTCAGAAAGTGACTTCGGCATTACAGCTGCACCACCTTAGATGACTACTTACAGCAAGACTCATAAACAACCCCAGTGACACTGACATCTCTGATCATTATGTTAGCAACCAACCACTCAGTATGGGCACCTCTCAAGTTTTACTGTACACAGGATTTAAAAGGTTAGTTGTGTCCAGATACTTCACACCACTTAATTTTAACGAAAGGGAAGGAACACTGGCTGGAATAGGGAAATAACAAATAAGTTAACAGATAAGGAATATTTAGATAAGTTAGATCTATGCAACTTGGCAGAGCCTGATAAAATTCAGCCTAGAGTACTTAAGAAACTAGCTGGAGCAATCTCTGAACCATAGCGATTATCTTCTGGAACTCATGGAGGAGACAAAAGAGAAATGATCAGAGGTTTAGAAAACATGACCTGTGAGGAAAGATTGAAAGAACTGGGCATGGTTTGTCCAGAGACGAGACAGCTTAGGGGGGACATGATAACAATCTGCAAATATGCAAACGGTTGTTATAAAGAGGACTGTGATCAATTGGTGCCCATGTCCACCAAGGGTAGGAAAAGAAGGAATTGGCCTAGTTAGCAGCAAGGGAGATTTAGGTTAAATATTAAGAAAAATTTTCTAACTCTAAGGATGGTTCAGCACAGGAATAGGTGTCCTAGGGAGGCAGTGGAATCCCTGTTATTGGTGGGTTGTAAGAACAGGTTGGAAAAACACCTGCCAGGGATGGTCTAGGTGCACTTGGTCCTGGTTCAGCGCATAGGGAAGGATTTTTTGACCTTCTGGGATCCCTTCAACTCCACATTTCTGTGATTCTGTGAAGTGGTGCTAGGCCCTCTGCCCTGTAGTTAGTTTGCCCCGTAGGTACTCTGCAAAGTAAATGCTTATGGGGCTAGGAGAAGTGGTAGGGCAGAAGGAAGGAGAGCAGGGCATGCTGAGAAGACTGTACTTTCCTGTGTGCAGTACTATGGGTTAATACGCTATAATGCAACAGGAAATGAGTCAACTTGGCTTCCTGTCTAATTTCTCCAAAATAAGGAGGCTGCAAAGTTCAGAATCCTCAGAACTCGACCTGTCCTGACAGCGTCTGAGCCACCATGGGAACCCGAGGTGACGTGTATCCATTGGGTGAGTGGAACAAAGTCCATGGGCTGAACTCGGGTGGGGCTAGGAGAGTGCAGAGGGGCCCACAGGTCTGTCTGCACTGGGGCTGGAAGGTGAATGTTCCAACTTGAGAAGACAAAGTCATGCTACCTCTCATCTAGTTAGAAATAGAAGTATCGCCGTGGGGGCAAGAGGGGCTGGCCGATCTGAGTGCATACCTGTGGTTTTGGATGGGATCATAGTTGGGGTAGGGAGCCTCTCCTGTTACTTGCCCAAGCGCAGCCACACTTCAATTTTTGGCACGCCAGCTGAGTCAGGGCAAGCCCGGGTATGTCTCCTCGAGCTAGAATTTACACCGAGGCCTACGCTACATTGGTGTAACGTGCAATTTCCTCTGCTCCCTCCAGTGCTCACGTTGCACCAACTGAGACTCCATCCAGACTCACTGAAATGCCCTTAGATTTACTGGGCCAGATTCCTGGGGATGGATGAGATGGGCTTATCTGAGATGGGCTCACTGGGAGACCAGAGCGTGGAGGGTCCCAGATGGGTTTCCACCTCTTTCACAGCTACTGAATCCCAGGGGATAACTGCGGATCAGTCTGGTCCCTGAAAGCAGAGCAGCCCAAAGCCTTCCCTGATTCATCCTCAACTGTCCGTAGCCCCAAGGGACCATTCCAGCAGTTGGCAATAGCTAGAGTGGAGGAGTACATTGGCCATAACACTCACCTCTGGGAATGCCCACTGTGCCTGGGGGCTGTAACATAGAGCCAGGACACCAGGGGCATTTCCAGGTAGCTGGTTGAGCCAGATTTCTGTAGTGGCACAAAGCTGGGGTTCCGAAATATTACTACAGTAATAATCGTTCTTAATGAAAGAATTGACTTCATTGGATTTACACCAGAATCACAGTGGGGTAAATAAGCAAAATTTGGTCCATAGACAGGGGCCAGGAGACACATCTCTGTCTCTCGCACTTTCTCTGTTTCTTATTTCTGTGTATAACATCTTTAAAACACGTATTTAGTTTTTATTTCTCTCTAGTATTTCTCCTCCTCGTCCTGTTCCTCTCTCTACCACCAGGGAGCACTCAAGTGTCATCCGGTACGTTCCCAGGCTGGCAGAACGTAGGGCTGTATGTGCCGCGTTTGTGCCCATCATGAGAGTCCCACACACAATGTGTCTCTGCCATGAAGCTGACACAAGCTTGGCAGCTCTCGATGGGGTTATTGGCACTGTAATGAGGGGTGGGGTCATTGGATCTGGGTCACTAGGATCACCTGAATTCTTTAGGTGGGGATTAAATCTATTTCTGAAGCGTTCACCAATATATGCCGGTCCAATATAATATATCACATGATCAATAGTTATGCTTCACATTACATATATTTATATGGATAGTATGTGCTTCATGCATATAACATTATATTTTATGTACACTTCTGGCAGTCACATGGCCTGGAATGCTGGCCTGTGTCTTTCTATAGTCTAAGGATACGTCTTCACTACCCACTGTATCAGCGGGTAGCAATCGATTTATCCGGGATCAATATATCAGGTCTCGTTAAGACGCGATATATCGATCCCCGAACGTGCTCACCGTCGACTCCAGAACTCCACCAGAGCGAGCGGCGGTAGCACAGTCGACGGGGGAGCCGCGGCCATCGATCCCGCGCCGTGTGGACCCCTGGTAATTCAATCCAAGATACTTCGACTTCAGCTACGCTATTCGCATAGCTGAAGTTGCGTATCTTAGATCGATCCCCCCCCCCAGCGTAGACCACCCTTTATTCACTTATGCTAAGTATCCCATAATACCTTGCATTAGCCAGGAAAACAGTCAGGATCAGCACATATGGGTGTTCTACTGTAGTAACAGGCAGGAAGTTACTCTCACTGGAGTGTCCCAAAGATAAGGACAATATATATGGGACAAGCCCAGGAGATGCATCACGCTCTTGGTACCTGGAATTCCTGAGTCCAGAACAAAGAGCTAAGGGGTACCGCGTGGTACCAGAAATACAAGGTAGAAAGATGGTAGGTTAAGACTAGCCTCAGAGGATGCATACAGTACCTCTTTCCTTGTAAACAGGTTGGGTATAAAAAGGACAGTTTTAGGGTGTGACTTTGGAAACAAGCCTTCTTTGTAAGGCAAATTCAGCCCTGCTGCAGGAGACGTTCCCGGAAATTGGAGTTGTATTGAAGCTTTGTTCCTGTAATATGTTATTTCTAAGGCTATGGTTTAGTCACCATAGATATTTTTAGTAAAGGTCATGGACAGGTCAAGGGCAGTACAAAAAATTCATGGCCCATGAGCTGTCTATGACTTGCACTATGTACCCCCAACTAACACTTGGGCGGGGGGTCTGTGAGTGCTCTTTGGGGGTGGCCCAGGGGCACTGTGGGTGCTGGAGGGAGGTGGCCCGGGACACACCACAGGTCCAGGGGGTGCAGCCCATGATGAGCCAATAGGAGCTGTGAGGTCGGTGCCTGCAGGCAGAGCAGCGCACAGAGTCCACTGGCCCCTCCGCCTAGGAGCTGCAGGGACATGCTGGCTGCTTCCATGGAGCCCCTCCCCACCCCAGATAAGCACCACCCTGCACACCAACCCCCTGCCCCAACCCTGAGCCCACTCCCAAACCCAAACTACTGCTGCTGCTGGGGAGCTGGGGGTGTGTGGTGTTCCAAGACTGCCCCAGCAGGGGTCACTCAGGGCCAGCCGCACCAGCCGCTGCAGAAGTCATGGAGGTCACAGAAAATTACGGGATCTGTGACTTCCATGACCACCATGCCTTACCTATTACTGACTTTTAGCAATAAACCAGACCGATATTGGTTATTTGGTCTCTTGGGCATACTGAATAACGAACCAAAGTGTGTTCAAGCAGTTGAACGTATGGTTTACCAACAGAAGGGAAAACCCAGATGTGACTCTACGCCCCATATTCCTCATAGGATATTGCTATGATATGAATGTGGCATAACAGATGTGTTCTATGCGAGGTGGGTCATGTGAGATGTCATTGGAAAGGTTATGATTTACTGAATATGATTATCCTATTTGTATGCATGTATCAATTCTGTATCTGAAGTTAGGAAATTTGACTATGTAACAGTTACTAGAGGGTTTACACCTGGGGAACATCCACCAGACAATAAGCAATCAGCCTGGATGGGCCATTTAAGACGGACAATAGAACTTTGAAGATGCTAATCTCCCACCTCCTGAGAAGCTTCCTGGGATGCTGCTTTGACACTGCAGGGTCGTGTGATCATGTCACCTGGTACTGGACTACTAGTATTTTTCCTTTAATAGGAGGTGGGGATCAAACTGGGAAACAAAGGATTCCCACCACATGTAAACCCTATTGAAGGCAGGGAAGTGAGTTAATCAGGTTTCATTCTTCACTGAATCCCTGCCCAGGATGACTGCTGGAAACATCTTAGGCCCTGTCTACACTGGCAAGTTTCTGTGCAATAAAGCAGCTTTCTGCGCTGTAACTCCCGAGGTTACACACTGCCAGGCCACTTAGTGCGCAGACACTGCGCAGTTGTAGCACTGTAAAAAACCACCCCAACGAGAGACGTACAGCTTTCTGCACCGGGGGTACAGTGCGACGGTGCCAGTGTAGACACCCTGGTCCATTACAGCCCTGCAATTGGCCTCCAGGAGGTATCCCACAGTGCCAGTTCTCGCCTCTCTGGTCATCGGTTTAAACTCTACTGCCCTGCCCTCAGGTCACCAACTGTCATCCCCACCCAGTAAATTTCTTTGGAATTTTGAAAGTCCCCTTCCTGTTTGCTCAGTGACGTGTGCAGGGGTCTCAGATCATCTTTCCAGGTGGCCATGCCTGCTCCATGCACCAGGCGATCTCCCACTTGGAGCAATGCCGAGGTGCTGGACCTCATCAGCATTTGGGGAGAGGAGGCTGTCCAGTCCCAGCTGTGCTCCAGCCATAGGAATTAAGATACCTACGGACAGATTTCACGATGCATAACAGAAAGGGGCCATGACCGGGACACATTGCCGTGCAGGGTCAAAGTGAAGGAGCTGCCGAACTCCTACCACAAGGTGCAGGAGGCAAACCACCACTCCAGTGCTGCGCCCATGAACTGCTGGTTCTACAAAGATCTGGACGTGATACTTAGTGGCCACATGCATCCGAAGAAGTGAGGTTTTAACTCACGAAAGCTTATGCCCAAATAAATCTGTTAGTCTTTAAGGTGCCACCAGACTCCTTGTTGTTTTTGTAGATACAGACTAACACGGCTACCCCCTGATACTTGACATCTAATAGCCCTGGTCTCTGGATCTTCAAACTCAGCCTCCAGGCGCTGAGCTTCTGTGATCCAGCCCTGAGTGAAGCTTTCACCCTTCCCTTCACAAATATTATGGAGCATACAGCATGCGGCTATAAGCATAGGAAAATTGTCATCGGCCAGGTCCAGCTTCCCATAGAGACAGCACCAGCGGGCTTTTAAATGGCCAAAAGCACATTCAACAGTTATTCTGCACTTGCTCAGCCTGTTGTTCAACCGCTCCTTGCTGCTGTCAAGTTACCCCGTGTATGGCTTCATAAGCCACGGCATTAAGGGGTAGGAAGGGTCTCCCAGGATCACAATGGGCATTTCAACTTCCCCTACGCTGATCTTCTGGTCTGGAAGAAAGTCCCTGCTTGCAGCTTCCTGAGTGTTCCAAAAGCATGCGTGTGTCATGCACCTTTCCATACCAGCCCGCGTTAATGTCTGTGAAACGCGCATGGTGATCCACAAGCACCTGGAGAACCATTGAGAAATACCCCTTGCGATTAATGTACTCAGTGGCTAGATAGTCTGGTGCCAGAATTGGAATGTGCGTGCCATCTATCGCCCCTCGGCAGTTAGGAAAGCCCATTTGTGCAAAGCCAGCCACAATGTCACGCACATTTCTCAGAGTCACGGTCTTTCGGAGCAGGATGGGATTAATAGCCCTGCAGACTTCTGTCAACGCAAATCTAATGGTCGACTTTCCCACTCTGAACTTGTTAGCAACCAGTCGGTAGCAGTAGCTTCCACAGTGCAATCGCTACGCGCTTCTCCAACGGCAGGGCAGTCCTCATTCTCCTGTCCTTGCACCGCAGGACAGGGCGAGTTCATCAGACAGTCCCATGAATGTGGCTTTCCTCATCCGAAAGTTCTGCAGCCACATGCATCACGATGTGATCCCACCACTCAGAGCTTGTTTCCTGAGCCCAAAAGCAGCGTTCCGCTGTGGTCAGCACCTCCGTGAATGCCACAAGCAATCTCGTATCGTAGCTACTACGTGTGGCGAGATCAACGTCGCAATCCTCTTGCCTTTGTAGTTTAAGGAATAACTCCACTGCCACTCATGACGTGTTGGTCAGAGAAAGCAGCATACTGGTCAACAGTTCGGGATCCATTCCTGCAGCCGGAGGAGGCAGGACACGCGATACACAAACCGTTGAAAGATGACACCAAATGCAGACAGAAGCACAGAGATTGCTGGGATGTGAAGCAATGCATAACGGGGTACTGGGGCAGGACCCAGGATTCCCCCAGACCCTCTCTGCTTTCCCACAACTCTTAGTGACAGAAGAGAAAGAGGTGCTCTGTGGGATAGGTGCCCAGAGTGCACCGCTCCGAATACCGCTGCAAGTGCCGCAAGTGTGAACATGCTATTGCACAGGCAGCTGACAGTGTGAACACACAACAGCGGTTTCCATCACATGGAGTCGAACAGACGGGCTGTCCTCTCTCAAGCTCAGCTCTAGCTCCATCCCCAGCTATGGGCTGGATGCAGGAATCCCTGGGTCATTCTCTGGCCCGTGCAGTGCGAGAGGCCGGATCAGCCTGCTCCCTTCCTGGCCTTAGAATCCCTGAATTAATGGCTCGGCCTTCGCTCCAAGAAGAACTGTGATGACGTCACCTCCCCAGCTCCCTCGTCCTCCATGGAGTCTCCCCAGGGAAGATCGACCGGAGCTTGAATTTCAAAGCCGTGCCCCCTTTCTAGCTCCCTTCCTAGGAAAGCACAATGGGGTTCCACAGCCCGATGTGCTTCCCCTTTCACATCACCTCAGGCCAGCCCATGGGTCCTTTATCATCTGGTTCTTCGCACCCGTGTGTGGTTAATGACTCAGAGCAACAGGCTATAAATAAACACCAGCAGGAGGGGGCAGATCAGGGATGATAGCTGAGTGAAAAGCAGATCAAAAGCAGCCTGTGTTGTCTTTTCGCCCCATCCCCCCTCGGTGCTTCCCCTTTCCAAGTCATTACCCCTCGCTGTGCCTCAGTTTACCCATCTGTAAAATGGAGAGAATGCTCCTCCCTTTGCCTATTGCCATGAGCCTTTTTGGGTCACAGACTGGCTCACTGTGTGTCTGTGCAGCACCGAACGTGATGTGGCCCTGATCTCAGTCGGCTCTGGGCAGCCCCTGGGACAATGGAGGCCCTGATTTTGGTGGACTCTGGGTGCCTCCCGGCACAATGGGCAGGGCCGGATTTCTGATTAGGCACAGGAGGCAAGTGCCTATGGACGTCTGCATTTTATGGGGTGCCTACAAATTCAAATTTTGCTCCTCCCAGGTCCCAGCAGGGGGCAGGGCTGGCTGAGGGGGAGACAGCCCCACACACCCCTGCTGCTAGAGCGCTCCTTGCTCCGCTCAGCAGACAGCGTCACCTCCCAGGGGGGCCAGTGAGTGCAGGCTGGGGGGCTTGGGAGAGTGGGTCTCTCAAATGCAAAGAGCTCCACTTAGGAAGGAACAATCAGTTTCACACATACAGAATGGGAAGAGACTGTCTAGGAAGGAGTACGGCAGAAAGGGATCTAGGGTAGGGTTACCATATTTCAGCAAGCAAAAAAGAGGACGGGAGGAGCCCCGCCCTAGACCCGCCCCTGCCCCTCTCACTTCCCGCCCCCCCAGAACCTCCAACCCTCCCCCCGTTCCTTGTCCCCTGACTGCCCCCTCCTGGGACCCCTGCTCCTAACTGCCCCCCAGGACTCCACTCCCTATCTAAGCCTCCCTGCCTCTTGTCCCCTGAC